CCTGGCACAGGCGCTGCGCGACGGCGTCCTCCTGTGCCAGCTGCTACACAACCTCTCCCCCGGCTCCATTGATCTCAAGGACATCAACTTCCGGCCGCAGATGTCCCAGGTGAGGGTCTGGGCGCGCCAGAGGGGCCCTGGTCCGCGGGTGTTGGCGCCGCCAGGCGGTCCCGGGACCCTGGTCGGAGCGGCTGCTCACGGACGTCGGCAGGCGGGGGGACCGGGAGCGGAGAGGGGGCGCGTCCCAGGCCTCTGAGCCTGCTCCTCCGAGGGGCGAACCCGGGAGGCACGAAGTTGGCCAAAGTCCCCCAAACCTGGGGCGCGCATCTCTGCCTGCGGGCAGCTGCCTGGGAGCGCCCGGGACTGGGGCTGCGCCTCCCGGAGTGAGGGGAACCCTGGCTATGTGCTTACCACCGCCTCCTCGTCTCACAGGCCATGGCGCCAGGACCCAGTGAGGGTTCCTTTCGACCCCGGAGATCCCACCGGGCCGGAGGCCTCGACAGGCGTGGCATACCCCGGCTTTGCGACTGGTGGCTGGATGCCCCAGAGGATGAAGGAGCGGGCAGCTGGGCTCGGGGCGCAGCGGGAGGGGCCCGGCTGGGCAGGGCTGGGAGCTGGGAGCCCTGGCGGATGAGGGGGCTGATGGGCTGGGCGTGCCGACCCCCTTGCCGGCCTCTGTGTCCTCCTGAACCCTAGGGTGGGGGTGATGCAAGCAGCACCAGATCCTTAGGGTCGCAAACTTACTGGCATAGGGAGCCCCTTTGCTTCCTCAAGTGTGGTCTTTGTCGCGGTTGAGGCGCATGTGGCCGCGGGCAGGCAGGAAGATGTCTCCTTGGCCGGCAGGAGCTGCCTTTCTTGGCCCCTTAAAGGGAACTTGGTTAAGACTTAAGCAGAATAGAATCTCCTGTCCTACACTCCCCGGCTGTGCAACCCCCATCCCAGCACCTTTGAAAGGGCCCTAGGTGCCCAAGGGGACCAGGGGGCCACCGGAGGTCTGGCCTGTGTTCCTCAGGAGCCACCTTCCTGCTAGCCCCCGAGCCCCTTCTTCTGTGACCCTCGGCAAGTCCAAGTGGACAACGGCCATTCACAAGCATGACATCGGAAAATGGGCTGGGGGAGGGAGGGATGGAGTGAGTCACTGCTTTTCCAGGCTGGGCTGCATGGCCTCTGCCCTTTGGCTGTGATCGTGTTTCCAAGGAGATGGGGGCACCCCCCTCCACTCCAGGGAAGATGGAGGGTGGCTGCTGGCAAAGAAGAGTCCTGGGGAGAGGAAGGGGCTGCCTTCCCACTCTGTAGTGATACCCCAGCACCACGGAGGCGGGTGGCCCGGTGAGGGAGCCCTGGCCGCACTGACCTGCCTTCTGGTCCTCAGGCTCCCCTGAAGCCAGTGCCATCTTCGGGCACACTCAGCGCTAAGTAGCCCAAGGTCCTGGGGTCAGCTGTCCTGGCTGCAGGATGCTTTCACAGATCCAGTGCTCTCCTCTGCTGTCACCCGCGGTCCCTGGAGGCTGGGAAGGACTTACCCTACTTGGTGGCTGGAGGAACCAAGGGGAAGAAGAGCCGCTGAGGGCAAAGCTGGGCCTTGCGCGGGCGTGTCAGCCTCTGGCTGTGAACTGCAGGGGCTGCCCAGGCTTGCTGGCTCCTGGAGGTTCCCGACTGACTGGCAGAGAGGCTGGGGCCCAGGGCCCAGCCCGGGGTGGGTGGGTAAGCTGGGTTCGGGCAGGATCGGGGAGGAAGGGGCGCTGGCTGTGGCATATGGCTTGGCTCAGCCCCTGCGCTGGAAGCGCAGTCTTCCTGGTGTCCCTGGAGCCATCCTCGGGCTGGCAACACTGAAGCCGGCAAAGTCCTGTCCAGCACCCCTGCCCCAGGCTGGGTGAAGTGGTGTTGAGGGGGGCTGGGGAGGAGAACCAGATGGGTGAGTGTCTGTGCCTTCATGGCCACATGCTCTTATTGACACCTGGCGCTGTCACCTCCCCCGCAGTGACCACCTTTGGGGCCTCAGTTTCGCCATCTATGTATGTAATGGGGGCTGAGTTAGTGGCCACATCATAGCCATGTTGGGAGGATTTGGTGAGCAAAGTCAGAGAAGGGCCTTAATGCCGCGCTGAGGGGACATCAGCGGTTTTCAGAGGGGCGCCTGGACACTGGCAGTTACCGCCGAGGGCTCGTCTTCCTGACCTCAGCTTGTCTGTTGTCACGTGGAGGGTGGGGCTGGTCACACGGATCTCTGTGTTTCGGTTGCTGGCACAGGGATGACTGTGGGTGCTCCGTAAAACCTGTGTCCGCCAGGTCAGGCGGTGAGCTGGGTGGCCCCATCTGTGTCCTCACAGTGAATGAAACCATTGTTCCTACCACGTGTGGCCGTGCAGGGCTTGGGAGAGGAACCCGGTGGGCTCTCTGTGTGGCTGCTCTTTGCTCTCTGGGGGGCTTACGTTCCCTAGGTGGGGGACGGAAAGGACGTGGTCCTCTTGGTCCCCGGTGGTTGCATCACCAGAACAGTCGTGGCTGCCGTTTCTCACCCATCCTGCCCTAGGCTGGGCACGATCTGAGGAGGGGCATGCCACCCCTGCTTCATAAATGAGACTGCAGCTCAGAGAGGTCGAGTGACTTCCCCAGGTCACACAGATAGTAAGTGGTAAAACTAGCGCCTGAACTTAGGTCTCCCTCCCTGCTAGGACGGTTTAGGCAGATTGTGATTCCACAAGCTTCGCCTCCGCTGTTGGGCGGGCCCTGCTGGATGCCCGGCCTCCTTCTCAGGTGGTTCGTGGTGTGTCTGTTTCCGTGGGATGGACAGGGAGGGGGGAGTGCGTGCCTGTTTCCTGTGGGGAATCTGGACACTTTGCTGGCGAGTGGGCAGGGCCTGTCCCCCTCCCTGCTGTTATGGGGTGCCTGTCCGTGGGCCCGTCCAGCTCAAATGCCTGCCACATAGCCCCTCGCTCCAGAGTGCCACACTGGCTTCTTCTGGTGACATCCTATTTTTAGAGGACAGCATTTCGAGTCCCCCTTCCGTCTGAGTTGACCTCAGGTGGGTTATTGGCCCTAAAGGGGCATAATAGCAGTGTGCACTTACTGAGTATCTGCTGTATACAGAGCCAGGTACTGGGAGGTGTTCAGGGATGGATGCAAGTTGCCCCTTTGTCTTGTCCTTCCGGAGCCAGCAGGGTATGCTTTATTTTTATTTTTTTTATATCCAAAATGCCTGGAAGCCACCTTGGGTTTAATTACACTAATTAGGCATGGCCACAATCTGCTGATCTTAATAAGAGAGCGTGTGTGCCTGGAGCGGCTTCGGTTATGAGGCCCTGAGTTTGCTGATGCCAGCAGACAGCCCCTGCATTTGAACCTTTGAGGCACCGCCGCCCAGACTCTTGACCGCACCACCCGGCAGGCCTTCTCCCCGTAGAACAGACTGGGGACCCCATCTGTTTGGGACCCGAGCCTGCCAGGGTTTCCCACTGCCCACACCTCCAGCCTCCAGTCCTTCCCGTCCCTGCCTCGTGTCTGACGCTCCAGCCTGCCCCCTCCACCCCCACACCTTTGCCATCAGTGTCCATCGTGTGCTGTGCCCTTGCTGGAAGACTACCTCTCCTTTTGCTCTGGATCTTCCCGGAGGAGCCAGTCTATTGGCCCTTCCTCCAGGAAGCCTCCTCTGATTTCATTCTCTTCCCACCCTGCTGCGTTGCGAGCCTGGCCCCTGCCTCCCCACGCTGTGTGCCGGGTATGTACCTCTAACTCTTCCTTTCCACACTTTGCTTTAGTAAAACCCACATCGTTCGGGAGCTACACCCTTGCTGCTCACTCTCCAAAACCCAGGATCTGGAGAGCTTCCGAGTGGGGGATGCCGGCATCCATGTGTGGTGGCCCTCCGCCTCCAAACCAGGGTGAGCCCTCCCCAGGCTTCCTTCCTGGGTCCTGCAAAGCCAGGCCTCTGCTCCTTTGTTGCTCTGGTCCTTCCTTCGAGGAATGGTCACTGGGCCCCTGGCTGCCAGGCAGGGGTCCATTCCCTGCTCCGAGACGCCTCTGGGTGAGCAGGAAACACAGTGGGTTGACGAGGTGCCCGTGGACGAAAACGTGGCCTTCAGGTGTCCAGAGAGTGTCCAGAATGCAAGCAGGACACGGTTCCTGAGGCCGCGGGGTGTGAGGGGCCGATTCTAGCGGAAACAAGGAAGCTGTATCTTTCCTCCTTTTTGAGTCTGATTTCTTTTTAATTTTGAAAATATCCTGACACACTTGAGAGAAAGTTGGTGACTCGGTGCCCTGTATCCCCGAGTGTTTCTGTGTGCTTCCTACAGACGAGGGTCCCCTCCACAACCACAGTGCCGCCACCTGAGCCCAGAAGACCCATATGTCCACAAATGCCCCTTTCAGCAAAGGGTCAACTTGAGGGCTGGGCCACCCCTCAGCCTGTCTTTGATTTTCCCAACCTTGTTGCTTTTGAAGGTTCCAGGCAGAACCTTCCCTGGGTTTATTTGCAGAATGTCCCTCCTTTTGGGATTTATTTGCCACCTCCTCGGGTTGGATTCAGGCTTTGCACCCGTAGGGGTCGGGCAGCCACGATGCTGCCTTGTCCTGACATCCTGTCTAGCAGGTGGTACATGGTTTCCAAGTGTCCCCTTGCTGGGGGTGTTGGCTTTGATCACCTGATGAAGGCAGTGTTTGCCGGGGTCTCCACCGTGAGGGCCCTCTGTCCCCCCTCGGAGGTCACAAATATTCCCAGGAAGGAACTTTGAGACAGCTTCGGGGTCTAGTCCCACCTTCTGCTTTCTTTGCTTTTTCTTTTCCTTTCTTTTCTCTCTCTCTCCACCACTTTGGTTGACGGTTCCTTGTCTTACTCTGCGGAGTATTACCTGTGTTTGTCAGTGTTTATTTTGATGCCCAGATCGGCTCAGGTGTGACCAGTGGGAATTGCTTAAAGCTGGCTTCCGTGTGTCTTCTTGAGCCTCCCACCATTTTTGGAGCATCGTCTCTTTCGGGGCACAAGACATCTAAGCTCCTCTTGTATCTTATCTTGTCCGAGCTCAGGACGCAGGCGTGTGTCTAAGGAGCTGGCTCCGCAGGGCAGAGGCGTATGTAGGAGCCGAGATCCGGGCGCAGGTGCACCTGCTGCAG